TAGAAAAGAGGAAAGCAAAGCGTGCTGCTACGGAAAGATCATCTGTACAGCTGTATGAAGAGTCGGAAATACCCGAGGGAATGAAAAGGTTGTAGAGCATTTCTAAAGGAAGCGACAAATCATCGACCCACGTGCGGCAGATTAAGGGTGCGGATGGAAGATTGTTAAGAACCGATGTTGATATAAAGCAAAGATGGTATAAGTAGTTTGGCTAAAAAAGTATAGTATTTGGCTTAAAAACATAAGGGATTGGACAAATATCGATGCCCATGCACTCTTTAGAGCCACACAAGGTCGAGAGGAGTATGCCAAAATTGTTGCCAACATCCACTAATTGGATAGGGCACCATAAGAAGAAGGTATAGCTACTTTTTATAAAGTTGCTAAATGAAGAACACCAAAGGAGAGACAGATGATGCGGAATCTCAAATGAGAATGTAATACACGGGATACTAAGAGATGAGATTGTTAAGTCGTTAAATAGGATAAAGAATTGTAAGGCAGCCGTACCTGATGGAACACCTGTGGAGGTTTGGAAGGTTCTAGGAGAGGATGGAATGGATCTTTTGTTGCAAATGATGAGTAGGATCTACGAGAAAGAAAGGGATGCAGAGAGGGTGTGATGGTATCATTGTATAAATATAAAGGGGACATTCAGGACTGTAAGATCTATAGAGGGATAAAGTTATTGTTGTACACAATACAAATTTGGGTGAGAACCGTAGAGCGAAAGTTAAGGAGAGATACATCGACAGGAGAAGAGCAGTTTGAGTTTAGACCAAGAATGAAGACAACGGATACCTTGTTTGGTTTAAGACAGTTAATAGAGAAATACGGCGAGAAGAAAACTGGGCTACATTTGATATTTATAGATCTTGAGAAGGCGTACGACACTGAAATGGGTTACTGAGAAGTACATAAGTTTCGTGAAGGAAATGTATGAGAGATTGTATACCAAAGTAAGGACTTGTGTCGAATTGGCTGACTGTTTTCAAGTGACGGTTGGTTTGCATTAAGGTTCTTCAGATATACTGACAGAGAAAGTAAGGGAGGGGCTTCTTGATCAATGCTTATTGCTGATTAAATCGTGTTAGTAGAGGAGAGCAGAGATATGTTGGAAGAGAAGTTCAAGGTTTGGAGTAGGGCTATTAAAGAGCAATATTTAACGACGTGGAATTGCTTGGAGAAAAACTGGGAATAGTAGGAGAATTTAAATACTTTGACTTCTACATAACAAACCAAAGAAAGGTGGGGAAGCAATTACTCCAAAGAGCAACTCAAATCTTGGAACTCCATTAACATTAACAATTACTACAAATTTGTTAAAAGTGCAGAAGTTTTTCAATACCTATTTTTTTGACAGACGTTCTTATATATTACACAGACCACTTTGATTTTAACAGTGTATTTACCTTTTTGAATAAACTCATTTTAATGAAATATTGATTTAATATAGTGAAGTCTATTGTATCTGTTGTGTTTTAGATTTAACGTTGGAATAACTGACGTGAATTTATAATGTTCAAGTATTAAATATAATGATGGAAATCTTGTGATATAACTAAAGCTATATGTATATGATCACTGTATTATTATAATAATATTCTATTTGATGGATTTATTTTCAATTCCATGAAATAATATCAGAAATTCGTTTAAATATGTTGTGTTTATTATTTCAAACTAGACAGTGATAGTTACCTATTTGGCAGTAAAAATTTTAACTTCTCATACCATTGTGTATCAAATTTAATTTTTTTTTTTCGACTTTAACAAACAAGACATTGGTCCACGTAATTACTTTTAAGAAGATTATAAATTAGGAATCACAAGCCATACTTGAGATCCTTATAGAACAAATCAAATACACTCTAAATAAAATTTAATATAATGGAGCTCTTAAAGCAGACAACATTGTCATCGAGGCTGATATAGACTCAACAAAGACAGTAACAAATGCCACCATATCACCAAAACTGTTTGCGAATTAGTTTGATAAAACTTAAGCAAATCAATGTCACCAAGATAGTCTTAAAGCTAGTCTGTGGTTGAAAAATAATATCCTTCAATTCTGCATCGGCCGTATTTCTGAAGGAATTCCAGCCCCTAGAACTGTATTTTTGGGGAAAACTACATTTCTGAATTATTTGAAGATGAGAGAGTAGAACACTATACACCGATTGCTATATCGGGTCCATCTATAACAGAAAGTGAGGTAAGACGTTCAATACAAACGGCAAAAAATGGAAAAGCACTTGACCCCGATGAAGTAAGTGCTGAAATACTAAAGTTTTTGGGGGAAAATCGAATTAAAGCTCTGTGTAATCTCTAACAGAATTTATGACACTGGGATATTACCAACTGATTGGTTAAAGTCGACATTTGTCACAATACCTGTTAGAGGACAGACTTAGCAATACTCAATTTGGGTATAGGAGTGGCTTGGGTACAAGAGAAGCCTTGTTTAGTATACAGGTGCTAGTACAGAGATGCAGAGATATATAAATCAAAATATGTACATTTGTGCAATCGATTTTGAAAAGGCTTTTGACAAAGTCCGACAAACCAAAATGCTAGAAATATTGGAAACAGCTAGATTGGACGATAAAGATCTACGAATAATTATACGGCATTAAGTGGCAAGAATAAAGGTTGAACAAGAACTGTCGGATGAAATAAATATAAAAAGAGGAGTGAGACAAGGCTGTATATTGTCGGCTTTACTTTTATCTTATATTCTTAGGAAATATTTAAGAAAGTCTTAATGGAGACAACCGAAGATATTATCGTGAATGGAGTAATCGTCAACAAGATTAGATATGCCGACGATACCTTCGTGCTTGCTAATTGCGGAAAAGACCTTCAAAATCTAATGAACAAAATAAAACAGACTTGTGATCAATATGGATTAAAACTCAACGTTAAAAAAACTAAATATATGATAGCAAACAAAATTATATACAGGATGACGGTATAAAAGTCGGAGATGCCACACTGGACAGAGTAGAGAAACTCGTGTATCTCGGCAGTAATATCATTGAGAGCTGGGATCCAACCCCAGAAATTAAAAGCCGAATAGAACTAGCCCGAGCTGCCTTTGTAAAAATGAGAAACGTACTTTGCAGTCACGATCTTAGCATTGATCTAAAGAAACGCAAGCTGGAATACTTCAGTCACATTATGAGACACCCTGAAATATATAATCTTTTATATCTGATCATTAAGGGAAAGATCCAAGGTATCGTGATCCTGGTAAAAGAAGAACATCATGGCTGAAAATATAAGGCAATGGTATGGAAAATTAACTACATCGTTATTTAGAGATGCTGTCAATAAAGTCACGATAGCGAATATGGTAGCCAACATGATATCCAACGATCGAAAACGGTCATGGAACTAGAAGAAGAAGGAACTCTATTTGTAGGTATGTTTCCAATCCACACCTTGTCTTTTGATGCTAACGCCTCACTCCCGCTGTTATTATCCACAACTTTTGCATGTGATCGAGTTTGGTTGATATTTTGACTAAGATGTGGATATCATTCATTTACAAACTTTATTGTGGCTGCGTTTATGCGCTTTAGAATTGCTGATTTGTAATTGTAATTTGTAATTGCTGATGTGCAAGTCAAAATGTTTTGAGAAGATAGGCGCAGCAGAGAAAATTGAGATAATGAAAAAATTGTATTCATTTTCAACAAAAAATGAACAAGATATTTATCTGAGAGGTTTAATAGAGTCGAAAGTTATTAAGAAGAGACGCCCTCGTAAACAAGAAGCATCACAAAGAACTTCATCCTTTGACTATTTTGTGTTGGTTAACACAGAGCGACGCAAAGTTTGTAAACATGCCTAAAAACGGCCAAATGAAACCTATTCTTTTAATTTTAACTATTTGAAACAAAACATACCTACCACAGTAAAAGAACGTCGCTTCTACAGTGACGGCTGTAATGGACAAAATAAAAACAATGTTATGATCCGATTTTGCCTTGCGCTTACTGACACAGGAATGTTTAGGCTATATACCCAATGAAAGTTTATGAAGTAATCTGTAGTTCTATAAAGAGGCAGAAATTTTCTGTACAAGTTGTCAGAACTAATGACGTTTTGGATTTTAAAAATTGGTGTTCTAAATATTACAAAAAACGTGCCTTTCTGTTGAAACTTCAGCTAAATCTATTTAATGTTCACAAAAGAAGTCATTCTGGAACACTAACCAGTTCCTTTGTTCTAAAAAGTCAGAACACCGAAAATGTTCATTTTCTAAAGGAAAGAGCTTATCCTATGGAAAAAATCCAATTAACATTAAAAAATTAATGATATTTAAAAGATAACTAGGTATCTTTCTGAAAATTATCAAGAATTTTATAAGGGGATAATTGGTTGGGCAACCACTGAAGTGGAAAGTACTGACGTATGAGTATCTTGTAAAAAACTGCATGTTTGTTTTTTAGAATAAAATATTTCATTTTTGTTAATGACTGGTAATAAAGTTTGTCAATAAACGTTTCCGTTTTGTTAATTTGAACAAATACGGCAAAAATAATAGTTTAGACATTTTTTTGTTAATTAATTCGTGAAAAGATATGTCAGATGTGTAGAATAACAAGTAAAATATGGAAGGTGGACACTGATTGCTGAAGCAAGATAAAAAGTGTCTTCCCCCAAGTAAACTGGGTAAATTGTGTAAGACATAGCCCAAAAAAAAGAATAAGAGGAAAAAAAGTAAAATATCTAATAAATTAAAATAATTCATTTTCCAAGAAAAATCACAAACGTTTTATTTGTTTTAAACATAAACACTTTTTTTTTAATTTTCTCAAAACTTCATTCTTGTGACTTATATAATCGATTTATTTAAGCTTACATTCAACATCAAATATATGTTTATAATAGTCATGTTTATTGCATTAAACTAATCATTGCCCATTTATTTATTTTAAAGATACCACCTTGTTCGCAGACTTTTTCGCAACCCTGTATTTACTCGTACTTACCTTAATCGGTTTATTGTATCCATCTATGACAGAAACACGATATCTGTCATCCTTCGCGTCTCCTCCGAACGTCAGTTCTGCCACCGTGTATGGCGAATTACACTTCTTGTATTGACACTCTTCCGACCTGGCGAATATTTTACCCGACCAGCTGTCTTCAAGGATAACGGACGCCTAAAAAAAAACGAGAAAAACAAATTTAAAGAGGATATTTCGTCACATCCGTCGTATTTATTATGCAGTCAATATTTATAAACATAGATGAGTAAATACGATCTTATTTTCGACGGCAGAATTGAATAAAGTTTGTTTTTAATGCGAATCCTAAACAGAATGCAAAGAAAATATTGTGTATGGATAGTAAACAATGGAGAGTTACAAAAAGGTTTGGACATATATTCGTGCTGCCTTTTTGGACTCTTTGAAAGACATGCTTGCTGTATTTATCTAGTATTCTTAATACTATTTCATTGTATATGTGGTCTTTACAGGAAATCGTGAGTTTATTATTATTATTTTAAAACAAATAGGGGCAGAGAAGCGAGCTCCTATTTTGCCAAAAAACAAAGAAAAATATCATTATAAAACTGATACCAATTTATTATAAAGTTACAAGTATTACTACAAACATTGTGAAACAATAAATAAAATAAGGCAGTCCTATTAATTAAAAAAAGAGCTATACAATTTATTTTTAAACGTGTTAACACTAGCTAAGTTAACACTTCTGAAACTACTTTCTTGTGGTATTGTTAAGTTAAATATTATGTTTTTATGGGATTAAGCCACAATTATTGGTTGTGTTAACATTAGTTGCCGATAATATGGTGTCTTGATCCAAATTGTTCCAGATATTAAATATTCTGTTGGGCAAGAAGTTGATTCTGGACCTTGCCGTAGTCTATTCCCTCTTTAATTTGTAAGGCCAACGGATCTAAGGTGACGCATCCACACATTGGGTTGAGTGTTGGGGCGATATCAGTCTGCGGTGCCAATCCCTTTGATGTGTACGCCAAAAGCGACAGTCCACAGAAAACTCCCAAGCTGAAGCTAGTCATAAAAACGTTAGCACCAACATTGACCCCAACACAGTTTTGTCGGTACACACATTGGACGAACGTTGTTGGGGCCAACGTTGGCACCCATGTGTGGAGCCGGCGTAACGATGGCCGAAGTAAATATGATGCTTAGGTTCCCAGAATTATATTTTAAAATACGGAAGGAGATAATTAGGTCACCTTGAAGACGTCGCTGCTCGAATTTTGTAAAAAAGAGAGTATATCTTCATAATTAGGTCTTACACGGCCGAATGTCAGTTTTGTAGCTTTACGCTGAACATTTTCAAGTAAAGTTTTAGATTGAGATCTGGACTCCACAGTGTCCTGGCAAACTCAATAATAGTTCTGACGGATATTGAGTAAAGCTTACTAATATCTAGAGATACTCAGCTCAAAAACAGTTTCGAGTTTGCACGTTTGAACCGCCATACATGTATCAACTTTTTACTGTAATGTTGTAGCATCATATTCTTTCGAATAAAATAAAATTCAGCTGTGCGTAAGAAATAAACAATGTGTTTCGAACATTAAAGTTTAGACGTTTGTTAAATCTATATATCTATGGATTTTTTAAACTGACAAGTTGTAAAATAAAACCAAAATAAAATTACGAATTTTGGAACTACTTTACTTAAGCTTTGATCTCATTTTTTGTTTTTTTTTTAATTAGTTTTATGTCAAACCTATTGAAAATGGCGTCGAAAAAGGCTAAAATTGTCTTTTTTCGGCTTTTTTAGTTACTGTTTATTTGCATTTCTGAAAGTAAGCATTAACGAAAAGCACAAGAATAAAATAATCTAGTCTTAAACTAACTTAGACAGAAAATTACATCTAAGCTTTACAGTGTTTGTCAGTCATGAAAGAGCATAAACAATACAACCCAATGAAACATTAGGTAAAAAAAAATCACCTAAAAATTAAAAGAAACGAACAGTAGTTCTCTTGTTCAGTTTTTTCTTTTTTTTTCGCGTTTAGTTTGTTGTATTTTTAATGTTCAGTTATCGTACAGTTTTCATACCTACACAAAAACCTACAAATTGTTTTAGAATTGAAGATGTTTTAAATAATTTAAAAAATGCGAAACGTATTCTATTAAGCTAATGAAGTAGTTGACGTCTTTCATTTGCCAATAATTGACCGATCAAACCTCTGAATTCACCTGTTCGATATATTATATATAAAACCGAAAGATTGTATCTCAGAAATAAAGGAGACTACACAAACAAAAAATATATTCACCATTTGCCCAGCTGGTAAATTAAAACTGTTTTCATTCGTCATTTCTATCCAAAGTCCTTCTTGTCCATTGTTCTTGATCTGAATTCCTTTGATGTGCCTCGGAGGCAGGGCACTGATCACAGTCATGAGCACACATACCGCGATTACGACTTTCTCCATTTCTAAACCGACTTGTAGCACTGTCACTGGCTTAAATGATAACAAACAAATAACAATATCAAAGACGATTCCTTCTGCGCTGTTATTAAGTTCCCGACTACGTATTTGGACGATATAAATTTAGCATTTTTATATTAATAATTGTAAACATGTTTGTAATCTTTTGTTGTCTTATTGATGCGCGCAACAGGACAGGACTCGCCACAGATATTTATTTTTTTGCTTATATCCTATTTACGTGTCTTACCAAGTCTGCCTCACCTTGACGATTAACAACACAAGGTTCTTTGTTCTGAGCTATTTTAACAGTTGTTCTGCTGTCCTTATCCCAGTCCTTTCTTCGATCTTTCTTAAACAAGATGCTTGCTTGCTACCAATTCTATTCAATGTCTGTTCTAGTTCACTTATAATTACAATTTTGTTTTCACTAATTATTGATAATATTTTTTTCTTCTTCCGTCTTTAGAATTGTCAATACTATGCGTTTTTCTTCGATTCCTTGTTATTGTTATTGATTTTATTATTCCGTTAGTGTGTAGACGTACCATACTTTTCGACACGTCTGGTATTTGTCTTCACATATACTAAACAGTTTTAACTCCCAACGGAAATATTTAGGGAATAATTCCTTGCAGTTGTGCCGTTTAAAGGCACGTGGAGAAGATTTATTCCAGACTTTTGATGAGTTCTTGACAAAATCAAACATTAGTTACGATAAAATGGTGTCTCTGTCAACTGATGGAGCCCCAGCTGTGGTCGGCAAATAAAGGGGCCTTGTAAAACAAATCAAAGTAAAGAATGCTGAGTTACTATCTTATCAATGCACAATTCACCAGACAGCCCTATGTGGGAAACTTACTGAAACTCTTAAAGAGGTAATGAACAACTTAATTACGTTGATTAAATTTATGGGGTGGTTCTGCTGGTGAGCACAAGCAGTTCAACGTTTTTCTTCTTCTTCTTAGAGTGCCGTCTCCCTACGGAGGTTAGCAATCATAATGGCTATTTTTATTTTAGAACTTATGCTCTAAACAAATCAATCGATCTGCATTGGTACCAATCACGTAGATTCTTTAACCATGAGTTCTGCCTTCGGCCAACAGATCTTCTTCCTTGAATCTTTCCCTGTATTATCAGTCTCAAAATTTCATATTTTGGTCCCCTCATCACGTGGCCTAGGTATTCCAGTTTTCTGGTTTGTATAGTGGTGATTAGTTCTGTTTCTTTACCAACCCTCTCCAGTACTTCTTTATTTGTAATTTTATCAGTCCATGATATTTTCAATACTCTGCGGTATAACCAGAGTTCGAAGGCCTCGATTCTTTTTAAATTACATTTTTTTAATGTCCAAGTCTCAGCTCCATACAATAATATTGAAAATATATAACAGCGAATGGTACGTAGTCTGATCTCCAAATTTAGATTTTTGCACGTTAGGAGTGGCTTCATTCGTATAAATGCTGATCTGGCACCTTCTTATAAAATTTAAATATCCAAGAAGCAATAGAGCATTTGGAGTTCCTGCCAAAGCAAAGAAGTATGTTGGCTGTGGCGTTCCTGAAATACATTTTGCAACACTTAAATGTGCTCAATACCGAACTACATTGAAGGTAATTCACAGAAAGATTTAAAAAATTGCAGAAGTAAAAAAGTTGTCGGCATTCTTAAGAGCGCCTTTAATAGTTCCTTCAGCAGGAGAATGGAGTGATGCGGTTGTGAATTTTTCAAGGCCCTTGCTCAAAATGGAGATTATAGACTTGCAGCAAGACTTTTTGTTGCATATGCATAATACTGCATCTACCCAAGAATTTTGGAGTAAACATGTTCTAGCGAAATATGAAAACTGCAAGAAATTGGACATTTACCTTGCTACTATGTTTGGCTTCACATTTTTTTGTGAAACTTCGTTTTTAAAAATGAATTTTTTTAAGAACAAATATCGATCAAGTTTGGCGTTAATTTAACTTTCAAAACTGACTCAAGAACACAAGTATAATTTTTCACATTGATTTTAAAAATGTACACCCAATTGTTCTATTTCATACTGTATTTTTTCCTAGACCTCCTCAAACCTATTTTCCAATATGCCCGGGCAAAATGTTTCGTAAGATTGTGTGCTTTTTGAAACTTGTAAGGCTTGACCTTGAGCTCCTTGTTCAATATTCGATACATACGTCGCTGGGATATTTTCAGTTCTTTGGCCATTTGATTACAACTACGACGTGGATTTCGCTTAAGTCGAGCCTTCTCTTTCCGAATCATTTTAGGTAATGTTGCTCTTTTTTTCATTATAACGAGTTATGGTGCGATACATAAACATTTTATTCACTTTGAGGTGTTTGAGCTGACGGACAATAGCTAGTTGTGATTTTTCAGCCAAATATAACGCAATTACACTATTACGTTTAAATTCGATTGCGAAACTTTTGTTATATGTATAAAACTTAAATGCAAATTTTTGACGGCTTATAAACAATATACTGAAGTATTATCAGGCCTTTATTAACTTTGACGTAGCTGTCATTATCGATTTGTCAGATATATCGATGTGAAGTTGGTAACAGTGTAACAATTCAATTGCGTAACTCTGTATGATAACAATGACCTGTTGATAACAATGTTGTTATCTACTATTCCAGACAGCAATGTCTACCGATCCAGACTTATTCGTCTGGATCAGTAGACATTGCTCAAAGTTTTGTTGTATTATCGAGAACCAACACTTCCTTCCAGCAATATTTCAAGCTTATTTATTTTCTATGACTTTTTTTCTTCCTAATTCGGAACTGGTAAAAGTTGTGTCTGTTTTCCTTTATAATATTTAACATTTTAAAACTTTCGATAAAATTATAAATATCTCTTTAACGTTATTCACAGCGGCCCTGCCTTCATTATAACAGAAAATCTTACGATATAATAGCCACGTACGCATAATACGCATCACAAATATTGTGACATATTAATCAATTAATTTCCACGAACATCGCTCGATTAAATTCTACGTTATATCCGAGCTGCGACGCCGACCAATGTCCACGAAAACAGGCCTCCAGGAATTACTCGAGTAGTAATCAGTCTGATAATATTGATAGGCCGATGGGAACAAGCTGCGATTGTTTTCGTGACCCCCAACTCTAAGAATTAAAGACTTTTAACTGTTTAATTGGACTGTAATCAACTTCCGGTTTTGATGAAGGTTACCCAGGAAATTTTTATCTACTTTTTGGTGTAATTGTTTCGTTTCCTTCGTGTACGATGATAGGTTTTTTTAAGGAATTTGACATGTTTTACATTTTTTTTTTCACTATTATAGTTCGGTATTTGTATGTTTCTTTTAGATATTCATCTTCTGTGTAGAACAAAAAAACTATTGATATTTTTGAGACGCACAAATGGATCATCATTTGAATGTGCTTTTATTTATTTTTGCATCAATTCAAAAGAATTCGCATGAAAAATTAAAATGCCTACTAGACAATATCTTAAAATATTTGAGACCAATGTAGCAATTAACCCTTAACTTGGCAAAAGGTAAATTTTAAATCTAAAAATATAAAATTTGTTATGTTTGCTGTTTGGGCATCAAACATATATTCTATAACAACAACAAAAAATATGACATTAATATGTCAAAAATTTTGGTTGTATACCAGAGTATACATTGTAACGATAAGACTACCCAAGAGAATTGATATACTATTATAAAAATAATAACTACCTCAATCAACCATGGGAGCTTATCGTCTATGCTTCGCCTAGCTCAGTCTTTTAAGTGTGAATCCGTCTTGTCTTAAACTATGAAGTAAACAATGAACACTTACCTGGTAACAAATAAACAATAATGTAACTAATCATGTTTATTTAGAATATAATACAAAGCAAAAACAGCCCTGCCTAACGCTTTACATTAGATAAATTTGAATGCTACTTGTGACATCGATGGGCTGCTTGGTTCTAATTATATGTTGCCTCTAGATTTGTGGTTAGGTCCTGTTGTCGCCTCCAGAGCTTGAGGGTAGGTCTTACATACAACTGCAGTTGATTAGTCCCATAAATTCCATAAAACATTCCATAGAATTTCAATAAATTATCCAATAAACGCAATAAATTCTCCAATAAAACCAATAAACCCAAGAGAATTCTGCAGACGATAAAAAGAGCCTTATAATAATTTTTGCATTCTTTTATAAATTTTAGTTACAGGCAAAAAACAATATCCCACCACAATTAGAAAAGTTGATTGACAGTGACAGAAAGTAGAAAGAGACTGCAATAAAGTTAAACACAGATACCATAGGATATATGCCGATGATGGAATTAGCTCTTGTGTCAATATAGAACAGAATACTTACTAGCTGTCAGAAAGAGTTATAAATATAAAGAGTATATAAATAAATATAATAAATTTGGTGTTCCACGGTCAACGCTGAAGAGAAGAAAGCCTTAGGTAGGCCGCCTGTCTTAACACAGGGATGTGAGTATATACATAAATATAATAAATTTGGTGTTCCACGGTCAACGCTGAAGAGAAGAAAGCCTTAGGTAGGCCGCCTGTCTTAACACAGGGATGTGAGAAGAAGACCAAACATATCATAAGATTGCAAAAATTAAGATTTGCACCGACTGAACAGAAGTACGTATCATGGCCTATAAACTGTCCGAGAAATATAATCTGCATCACAAGTTTAACCGTCAAAAGAAAATTGCCGGAATGGATTGGCTACATTTATTCCTAAATCGAAATCCAGAATTGTCAATCCGCAAATCGGAAGGCGGCAAGATCAAGGGGTTTAAACAAGGAAAAAATATTATAAACTTCTTTTTATTGCTGCAGAACATAAGAGCACAACCTTCTTGATAAACCAGGAAATATATTCAACGTAGATGAATATGGACTTCAACTAAATAATAAACCAGGTTATGTGTTGACAGTAAAGGTATCTAAGAGTGTAGATGCAATAATATCTGGTGAAAAAGGGTGAAAGCATATCTTTAATCGC